TGGTGTACAGTTTACCATTGCACGTATTATTGAGAGTTACTCGGCAGTTTCTGATTGGAAGGCCCTGGAATCCTGGCTGTTGGAATTGCAAATGCTCCGTGCTAAGCATGCTGGAAAAAGTTTTTCTGGTGCTCTAACAACTGCTGGCAATGAAGTAAATTCCATTCAAGCCTTGGCACGCTTTGATGGNTTGGCACGCTTTGATGAGGGTGAATTTCAGGCAGCATGGGCTTGTCTTGATTTGACCCCTAAAAGTAGCAGCGAACTCACTCTGGATCCCAAGTTGGCCTTGCAAAGGAGTGAACAAATGCTGTTGCAAGCTATGCTTCATCAAGTTGAGGGAAGAATAGAGAGGGTAACAGAGGAATTGCAGAAGGCCAAGGGGATGCTGATGGAACCATTATCTGTCTTGCCTTTGGATGGACTTGTCGAGGCAGCATCACATGTCAATCAGTTATACTGCATCTCTGCATTTGAAGAATGTTACAAGCTCAATATAAGCCAAGACAAGCATTTTCCATCGCTATTAAGCTCTCATATGCAAGCGATGAAGTCTCCGATTATCAAAGTTCGCCAAGATTGCAGTATATGGTTGAAGGTCCTACGAATATGTCAAACGGCTTACCCCGCATCACCTATGACTCTCAAACTTTGCAGGAATTTGATGAGCTTAGCTCGTAAGCAAAAAAACTTCCGTTTGGCAAATCGTCTTGACAATTATCTCAAAGAACATCTTTCTAGTTGCCCTGATGGAAGTACTCGTGACAATATAATTCTTAGCTTGGAGTATGAGAGAGTACTGTTGATGCATGCTGAAGACAAATTTGAAGATGCTTTAACCAGTCTTTGGTCATATGTCCGTTCTTCCGTGATTTCATCTTCATTTGTAGCGTCTGACGCCATTGATAGAGTTCTGAAGGCAAAGGCATGCCTGAAACTATCGAATTGGTTGCAAGAAGGTTATTCAAATTCAGGGATGAAAGACATAGTCCTCAAAATAAGATGTGATTTCAGCACCTCACCCGGCAGAGAGGAATCTAGCTTCATTCTTGATAATCTGGCTTCTAAGGAGAATGTGAATGCTACTATTGAGGAACTGGTGGGCACTGCAACAAAGTTGTCGTCCCAACTCTGTCCCACTTTA